CAGCAGCATTCAGGGCCCCGCCCCCTCCGACGCGTACAGAGTAGACGGCAGCTTAGCATTGGAACTCTGCTGTGTTTTGTTCTTTAAGACGATTCTAACGGTCTTCTCCTTTGGCCTGATGATGCCAGCAGGCATCTTCATCCCAGCATTGACTGTAAGTCTAGGGTTTAGGGTTTAGGGTTTAGAGAGAAGGGTGAAGGGTTTAGGGTTTGGAGTTTGGGGGTTTTGGGAGAGACTTCGGCTCGTTTGTTTATCTCTTAGGGTCTAGGGTTTGGGGATATTCTGAGGTGGCTGGTTTTTTGTTGGTTTATTCCTGGAGACTAAGGGTTTAGGGTTTAGGGTTTAGTGTTTAGTTTGTGTCTCCCGCTGGCTGCAAGCATGCGTATTCTATTCGGGGTGGTGGCGTTTGTTGTGTGTCTTGGGCAGCCTAGGGTTTAGGGTTTAGGGTTTAGGGTTTAGGGTTTAGGGTTTCGTGTGTTGCAGATTGGGGCGTCATACGGCCGTCTGATGGGTTTATTAATGCTGCGTTTACGTTCTTTGTTTGCGGTTACTTCTGTTCCTTCTATTGCATATCCTGTTACTTCTGCTGCTACTGCTGCTGCTGCTGCTGCTGCTGCTGGTGCTGGTGGAGCATCTGCTGCTACAGCAGCAGCAAGCCCTGGGGCGTATGCATTAGTAGGGGCTGTATCTTTCCTTGGTGGTGTAACCCAGACAAACATCGCGCTGATAGTAATAATAATAGAAGTAACAAAGACATCAGCAGCTCTAGCATTACCTTTTCTTCTTTCTCTTGCTATAGCAAAACTCCTCAGTGCACAAACACAGCAGGGGGGTTTCTATGCCGCCCTCATTCGACTAAAGAAGCTGCCGTACTTCTTTCATGAAACACAGGTTGGTGGTTTATTATAAAACTAACAAATATAATGTAACATAGAAATTTGTATTGCATTGATTGTGATGATCGTAGAAGCAGCAGCAGCAGCAGCAGCAGCAGGAAGGCAAGGTAGATAGGGAGGGAAAGGCGAAGGCACTTCCTGCTCGTGCTGTTGCTGCTGCTGCTGGCGCTGCTGCTTCTGCTGCTATGCATACTGGCCTCCGTGCAGCTAGCTGTACAGCTGCTGCTGCTTGTTGTTGGCTGTTTATTGTTGCGTCGGTTTGTCTGCGGTGTACGTACACCTGAATTGCAGGTCTGCTTCGATGGGCTGACTGCTGCTGAAGCGATGACCCGCGACCTGCAGCTTCTCTCCATAGACGAAACCCCCACCCTAGCCGGCCTCAAGGCCTTAGCAGACAAGTCCGCCAAGCCCTAAACCCTAAACCCCAAACCCTAATTCTAGCAGTAGAGAGACAACGATGCGGCACCCAGCCGAATCAGAGATCGACACCGGCAGCAGAAACACAACAGCCCGAGCAATGCATCTTTCAGCATACCCAGCAGCAGCAGCAGCAGCACTAACAGTGGCAGTGGCACAAGCAGCAGCACCATTAGCAGCAGCAGCACGAGCAGCAGCACTAGCAGCAGCAGCACTAACAGGAGCGGCAGTTGTGTGTGTTGCTTGCAGCTGCGCCTTTCATGGGTTTCCGGTGGTTCTCTCGCGCAGCAGCAGACGTCTCTGTGGCTACATGCATGCATGGCAGCTGCGGTCGCTGCTGCAGCAGCTGCTGCAGCTGCAGCATCCTCTAGTCCATGCCCACACGCTTGTCTCCTTTCATGCCTTCCGCTCGTCAGCAGCTGCTGTTGCAACACAACAGCAACAGCTGCAGCAGCAACAGCAGCAGCAACGAGAGGGGGCTGTTAGGTCTGCAGTCTGTCTCCTTGTTCTTGATGGAGAAGGGAATCTTCTACAGTCTCTCCCGCTGCTGCATGTGGCAGCAGACGGGCGTCTGCGCATCTCAGCAGCAGCAGCAACACCATCGGCAACAGCAGCAGCAGCAACAGCAACTGCAGCAAAGGGGAGGGGATCATCTGCTGCAGGCAGCAGCAGCTCGTACGCTGGGGCTTCTTCAGTGGAACTGCAGCGGCTGACGGGCGTCTCCCATCCAACAGAGCTCGCCACGACAGCAGCAGAAGCAGATGCAGCAGAAGACGTAGCAGCAGCAGCAGCTGCAGCAGCAAGGCAAGGTACTGCTGCTGGTGTTCAGGTGTACGTTGACCTCTCGTTGCTTGTTGATGAGGAGGTGCTGCAGCTGCCACCCCACACTCCTCTCTTGCAGGTCTATCGGCTTTTCGGTCTGCTGCAGTGCGAGTAAGCATCTGCTGCTGCTGCTGCCACTTTCGTGCTGCTGCTGCTGCTGCTGTTGCTGGTGATACAGTTGACTATTAGTGTTCATTTATTGTGGGTTTGCTGCTGCTGCTGCTGCTGCTGCTGCTGCGTCTGTTTAAAGGGTTTGCTTGCTGTCACGCTGCGGTGTCTTGGTCGGCCTCATCAGCAAGAAGAATTTCCTCACCACAATGCGAACGCCGCAGCTAGATGAGTGCTGTTAAGCTTCATGGCTGCAGCCGTTGCTGCTGCTGCTGCTGTAGCCTGTAGCACCGCTGCTAGTTTCGGTGCTCCTGCAGCAGTGCAGTTCCTGCTCTGTGTCTCTTCTGCTGCTGCAGAAGAAGCAGCAGAAATGGAGTGGTCTGGGGTGTATGGACACCCTAGTACGAGCTGCAGGATGCGTTTTCGTTGCATGCGTTTGGGGTGTATGTACACCTAACTGCGCAGCAGATGATGCAGCCGGCCCCATCATCTAACGCTGCTGCACTTTTGTTTTTTTACGGGCCGGGGGTACAGCAGACAGTGCCTAGACAGACTATATTCGTTTCTTATTCTTCTTCTTTATGCGTCGTAAACAACGCTAGAGAGAAGATTCAACTTATAAATAACAAACAAATAAATAAATAAGAAACACAACGACCCAGCGCCATACAACCGCGCACAGCTCACAGCAGCAATGGGCAGGCCGCCGCACCCGCTTCGATTGTGCTGCTGCTGCTGCTGCTGTTACTGTTTATGTTGCTGCTGTCTCTGTTGTTTCTACGTCTGCTGCTGTTACGCAGAGCCCCCTGCGGACACTAAGCTAAGCTGTCAGCCTAGAGGCAGAGGCTGAACCCTCTTTGGGTGCTGCTGCTAGGAGCTGCAACTACCGCAGTCTTGCTGTTGCTGTTGCTGATACTGTTCCTTTTCCTGTTGCTGCGACTGCTACTACTGCTGCTGCTGCTGTCACTGCTACTGCTGATACTGCTGCTGCTGCTGCTAGGGTTGGGAGTCAGTGTGTGCTCTCGGCCCCCGCTTCTCTCCCCTCTACATATGTTGTTGGGCCCCCGGGCCGCGAGAGGATCATAGGGCAGCAAGCCTGCAGCAGTTTGCTGCTCCTAACCACTAGCTGAAATAACGAAAGTATCAACAGAAATAAATATAACAACAATAAATTGCTATCATTTTTACTGTTTTAGGTGGAGGGAAACGTACAGAGAACAAGACAAACAACCGTAGCCCTGGGGGGTGCAGCGCTGCCGCTGCTGCAGCTGCGCAGCTAGAGAAACAAATTAAATGAAAACACCGAAAGTAATAGAAATTGATATTTATAAAAGGTAGATGGATCAAGGCAGCAACAACAACAACAACAACAAGAACAGCAACCACAACCGCAGCAGCAGCAGCAGCAACACACTAGAACGGTGGGGGGTGTTGTCAACACCCCACGGCTTGCTGCTCTCTCCGTTTTCTCTGCCTCCTCTTTTATTCTTAAATTCATTTATCTATAATCAAAAATAATTATAAATTTATATAAACGGTTATTTGTGGAGTTTTCAGCGCACACAGCAGCTGTAGCAATTGTTGTTGCTGCTATTGCAACACGAGCAGCGAGGTGTTGTGGTGTATGTACACCACCCACCAGCCCAGGCAGCTCAGGACCCCACTGCAATCGCTCTGATCTTTTCATTTCCTCTATTCCTTTTCTTTTGGTTTGTGATGCTCATCACAAAGGCAAATCCTATGCACATCGGCAGACAAGCTGCGTTCCAGTTGTACATACACCTCAACCACCTCCACAGCAGCAACGTAGAGAGCAGCTACTGATTTACTGGTATTGCTGTCAGCACAGCAAGAGGGAGAGAGTGGACACAAGCAGCAACAGCAGCAGCAGCCCTTCCTGTAGCAGCAGCAGCGACAGCAGCGAAGACACTAGCAGCAGCAGCAGCAGCAGCAGCAGCAGCAGGACAACCCCCATGGGTGGTCCGACCACTGTTGCCGCTGCAACAGCAGCTGGCGACGGTTCATCTTCGTCTTCCTCGGCAGCACCCGTAGGAGCATCATCATCGTCATCAGCAGCAGGAACAGCAGCGGGAGCAGCAACAACAACAGCATCAACAGGCGATGATACCGCAGCTATTCCCTCTGGTTTTCTGGGTACTCTGGTTCCTGTGCGTCGTACATTTATAGAAGAAGTGCCTGAAGATCTTCGCTGCCCCATTTGTTATGACGGTGCAGCAAACTGCAGCACGCGCTGCGGTCACGCCTTCTGTCTCCACTGTCTATACAGCCACATCACCACCCGCATCATACATCAACAAAACACTGCCTGTCCCCTCTGCAGATCTGCTAATGCTGGGCTCGGCATCAGCACCGTCTCAGGAGAGAAGTCAGCAAGGGTCAGCAAAAGCAGACGCATGCAGCAGCACACAGCAGCGCATGCAGCAGCACACACAGCAGCGCATGCAACAGCAAGTGCTGCAGCATGCACAGCATCAGCTGCGACGCTGGGATATGTAACTAACGGGAGATCCTCCCGCACTCCTCTTTCTCTGTCTGTGCATCCTCTCCTCTCTCTGTCTCCGCCGCTCTCTATGCCTTGGTTATATTTGTTTTTGTATCAGCTGCTGCTATCTCTATCTCTCTGCCTCCCTTTCATTCTATTTCTTGTCGGCATTTGCATTTCTCTTTGATTTACATTTCCACCGACACTTCCGCTTCTCTTATATATATATATATATATATATATATATATATATATATATATATATATATATATATATATATATATATGTATCAATCTATCAATGTGTGCAGGCTCGTGCATTGCGTGTGCGTTGTTTGGGTTATGAGGGGGGTTGTATGGTGGAGGGCCCTTTGGCTTCGGTTGAGCAGCACGAGGCCTCCTGCCCCTCCGTCCTCATCTTCTGTAGATTCAGAGACGCGGGGTGCAGCACCCCTGTGCTGCGCAGAGAGGTACCTACGCACACCTCCTGCTGCTGCTGCTGCTGCTGCTGCTTGTTCCGCTCCTGTTGCTGCTGCTGCTGCTGGTTGTGGTGGTGGCAGCGCTGCTGGTAGTAGCGCTCCTGCTGCTGCTAGTTCTGGTACTGCTGCTTGTGGTGGTGGTTGTGCTGCAGCTGGTTGAGGTGCTGTTTCTGCTGCTGCGACGTTGGCTATGCTGCTGCTGATTGTGATTCCGTTTTCGCTGCTGCTGTTCGTGCGGTTGTTGCTGCTGCTATTGCTGCAGTTTCTGCTGCTGCTGCTGCTGTTGCTTGTGCTGCTGTTGCTGCTGCACATGTATCTACATCGGGCACTATAGCAGCAACCGCAGCAGCAACTCCTGTGGCAGTTCCATTCTGCGATGCAGCAGCAGCATGCAGCAGCAGCAGCCGCATGCAGCAGCAGCGCAAAGTTGTTTTCTTCTTTTTTGTATTTGTTTTTCTGCAGGCTTCCCTTCATGAGAACCGCTGCCGCTTCAACCCCGCCGTCCGCTGCTGCCAGCATTATCTCTCCGGCTGCAGGGTCCGCGGTATTGAGGAGCTGCTGCAGCAGCACGAACCTCGCTGCAGGTACACCTCACACACAAAGTGTCTCTCTGCCTCACCCTTTTGCAGCAGCAGCAGCAGCAGCCGCTGCTGCTGCTGCTGCTCCTTAAGTTGCTGCTGCAACTGCTGTTGCTGCGGCTGCTGCTGCAGCAGCTGAACACGGGCTTACGATTCAGGGTTTAGGGTTTAGGGTTTGTGTGTAGGTACCGGAATATGCAGAAGTTTGTAAGCTGTCGCCACGCGTCTTTGGGTTGTGGTTTGCGGGTGCGAAAGCAGTACCGCGAGCGGCACGCCGACTGCTGCGCCTTTAGAATCCTACATGAATTAAAAACAGGCAACAAGCAGCAGCAGCAGCAGCAGCAGCAGCAACAGCAACAGCAGCAGCAGGATGCACTCAGCAGCGCCCCGGCCAGTGAATGCGGTGCCGAAGGAGCAGCAGCAACAGGAGATGCTTCCTCCTCAGCAGCAGCAACAGCAGCAGGAGCAGAAGCAGCCGACGCTTGCTCCACATCAGCGGAAGCTGCTGCCCCATCAACAGCAGCAGCAGCAGCAGCAGCAGCAGCTGGTGGTGGTGGTGGTAGTGAGTTGAAGACGAGTGACTGCGCGGACTTGTGTTTGGCGCTGCAGTGGAGCTCGCAGCAGCAGCTACCTGATGAGCTGCTGCTGCTGCGGCTGCAGGAATTTCTGCCGAATGTTGCAAATATAGCAGAGGGAAGATTTCCAGGAGAATTTCATGTTGTACTCAAACAGTAAGTCTACGCACAACACAAATCTTCATCCTTATGCTGCTGCTGTTGATGGTGCTGCTGCTGTTGATGGTGCTGCTGCTGTGCATGGTGCTGCTGCTGTTGATGGTGCTGCTGCTGTTGATGGTGCTGCTGCTGTTGATGGTGCTGCTGCTGTTGATGGTGCTGCTGGGCTAGATGCTGCTGCTGGGGTGGATGCTGCTGCTGTGATGGAGGGTGGTGCTGATGTTGCTGCTGCTGCTGCGGCGGATGCTGCTGTCGCTGCTGCTGCTGCGGTGGATGCTGCTGTTGCTGTTGATGAGGATGCTGCGCGCTTGTGGGCTGCTTCTGAGCTGCTGGTTGCATGCGCCGCTGCTGCTGCTCTGCTGCTGCTGCCGCTACCTTCCGGCCCCGTTTCGTTTTTGGTTGAGATGTGTTCTGCTGCTGCTGCTGCTGCTGCTGCTGCTGTTCTTAGAGTACCGTTGCTGGCTGTGCGTTCGATTGGGATGGTGGGGGATCCGAATATGTGTTCGAATCTGTCTGGCCTCGGCCTCCTCTATAAGGGCCTCACCACCCTGCAAACGCCTTAAGATACAACAAATGCATGCATGCGGCTGCTCCTGCATGCAACAAACACAACAACAACTGCTTGCATGCAGCAAAGAGAGGAAGCGCTGCATGCAGCAGAAAGAACAAATGCTGCATCCGCCAGAAAGAACAAATGCTGTATGCAGCAGCAACAAGAGGTGGTGGTGCTGCGTACAGCAGATCCCCTGCTTTTTCATATCGTGGGGGGCCTTTTGTTTCTCTTCTTTCTGTTGCTGTAGTTTTCTTCTTTATTTGTTGCCTCCCCAACCATTTCAATTCAAACATTTTTGCCGTCACATATGATCCGTAGGACGTCTGTATAATTAGCTAGATAGCTAGCTAGCTAGCTATAGCTAGCTAGCTAGCTAGGTGGGTGGATAGCAAACGACATTTTGCTGCACTTCAGAGCAGCAGCAGCAATAGCAGCAGCAGCAGTAAGAGCAGCCGTTCGCTGCAGCAGCAGCAGCTGCTGCTGCGACAGGAGAAGCGGCAGCATCTGTGTCGGTTGTGCTCACACAACCGACACAGGTGGTGCCGCTCCTCCCTGTTCGGTTTTCGGTGTACATGCAGCTGTTTAGAACGAAAAAAAAAAGAAATATAAAGTTGGTTTGTTAGCTGCGGTGTCTGTGCACCTTGTTCCGCTTCCTTTGGCGTATTGCTGAAGCAGTGTTGTTGCAGTTTGCTGCTGCTCCAGCAGCACCCAGCAGCAGCGGCTATCAACAGCAGCAGTAACCAGCAGCACTGAGCAGCAGCAGCAGTTGGCTTTAGCGTTTTATTTATTTGTGTGTTATTTGTTTTAGTTAATCTCTATGTCTATTGTCTTTGAGTGCAAATGCATTATAATGAATAGGAGAGATATATGTAAGGAATACATGTTTTTTTGGTTGTATTTTCTTTCCGTCTTCTTCAGGGTCATAACGCAAATACCAGCTGCTGTCAGTAGATGTAATGAGGTGTATAGAACAACAAAAAGCATCAGCAGTGGCTCGAAGAGATAATTCATCCCCCCAAGTCCCACTCCTGCTCATATCTTTTAAATAACAATTAAATTCACGTGGCCCCTCAAAGAATACCGCATACACCTCACGGTGTATACGCATCTGCTCAACTGCCTGTCGTCGAACAAACATATGAAAATCTTCACAACCAAATAAATTTAATGAGCAAGATCTAAACTGACAATTTCCATCACCAACAGAAACCAAAGAACGACAACCAAGAAAGGACAAACGCTGCTCCAGCAGATCGCTGCTCCGTGCCTCCCATGCCTTCATACTCTTAGGATACTCTCCTGCTGTTGTTGCTGCTGCTGCTGCTGGGCTGCTGTTGCTGTTGCTATTGAGCTGCTGCTCATCGCGACTGTTCCTCCTAAACAACCACAATCGGCGCATGCGATGCAGCTTCTGCTTATCTGCATCTTCCCCTTTATCCTCAAAGCTCCCCCCCGACCCTCTCCGCTGTCGGTGGGCCTTTGTCAGGGCCACTCGGCTGCTGCATTTCTTCAGCAGTTGCTGCTGTGCTGCTGCAGCAGTTGCTGCAGTACCTATATCAGGGGCTCCTCGGAGGCTCTTACGGTGGACCCCATCACCCACGCTGCTGCGCGGGAGGCTCAGCTGCCTCTTTTTGAATTCTTTATCTGCCCTGATAGCAGCAATCCTGTTGCGTACTATTAAATAAGCCTTTAAGACAGTTGCAAAACTCTGTGCATCTACACGTCTCTCGAGACGATCCAGCAGCACAAAGTCATCTTCTGTCATCGGAAGCACAGCAGGAGAAGCATCACTACTATTGGTTGGGGGCCCCTCATGGGCCCCCCGAGCATATGCATAACCGTCGTCTGAGCAGAGAGAAGAAGAAGATGAAGACGAGGTCAGTACCTTCGAATCAAAACAACTACGCACCATAGCGGCCAGATCGTGCTGCTGCTTCTGCTGCTGCAGCTGCCGCAGCGAACGAGTGTATAGGTGCTTCGGCTTAGTAATGCTGCGGATACGGGTGAAACTGCTGCAGCTGGAGGCGTCTGGACGACGCCCGCGGTTACCGCTGCTGGTGCTGCTACAACTGCTGCTGCTGCTGCTGCTGATGCCTGCAGCAGTCTGCGCTGTCCAGGCCAATGATACTGAAGTTGACAAGGAAGGATTTGAAAAAGGGCGTTTGCTGGGCCTCCAGAAGAGCAGCAGCAAATTGTTGGTACTGTTGCTTCTGCTGCTGTTGGTGCTGCTGATGTTGCTGCTGCTGCTGTTTCCCGAACGCTCGTGCCGCAGGGTCTAGGAGGCGTTCATATGCAAAAACCAAAATGCCCTGCTGAACATATCCAGAGAAATTACAAAAAAAAACACAGAGAGTAAAACGGAAAGACGAATCGAGAAAAGGCAGAAGGCCGGCTCGACACGCACGACGGTCACGTGCTGCTGCTGTCGCTGCTGCTGGTGCTGTTGTTAGTCTCCCTGAGAAATTAATTAGCCGATCTATTAAATAATAAACAAGTGCTGCTCCTGTGAAGCAAATGCTGCTGCTGCAGCGGCTGTGCTGAAACCGGCGTTGCAGTGGGCGAGGGCCCCTCGAGGCCGACTTGTATTGTTTGTTCTCTCTACAAAAATGAAGGGGAAAAATAATAAAAAGAGGAATAATTCCTCTTTTAATGAATCATTTTCATTTGGTTTTAATGTAAATTGAGCTAGGTTATCTCAAGGAAACACCAGGACATCCGTTGGCGTTCATTGGTCCGCTGTCGTTGGTAGTGTTGCAGCAGCCGAGCCCGCAACGGTGTGGCAGCCCGTGAAGATGTATGGAGAATTTCCCTCCATTAAACTTCTTAATTGTTTAATAAATAATTATTAATTATTTAATACAAATACACCAAAGAAAGCAGTCATAACAAGCCCACTGCGTGAGGCGCTGAGCAGGTCTCTCCTGTCTCACTCGGTCTGTAGCCTCTGCTCGGTTTTCAGGTTTCTTCTGTATTTCTACCCGCCATCAAACTGAAACCTACGGGCCTCAAAATATTTATACTTTAGGGTTTAGGGTTAAGGGTTAAGGGTTAAGGGTTTAGGGTTTAGGGCTTACGGTTTAGCAGCGCACATCGCCCATTCATCCAGGCGGGCTGGTAGTGTAGTGCACTAGCACTACAAGCTACCTATTGTCATTCCGACAAATGAGGGTCGATCGGGAAGGAACCGGAGGAGGTGTGAGGAATCAGAGTGAATCAGGAGCAGATCTAATGTTCCGAACGAAAATTGCAGCAACTGAAGCCGGGCCCGATATGCGGACCTTTCTGAGCCTAGCGGAGCAGGAATTTCGAGAAATGAAGATCGCGGAGGACCAATGGGGATTACTGATACGGACATATTTAACGGGCCGAGCCGTTAAGCAGTGGAATTTCTTAATCCGATCAGGAATTGATATGACGGACTGGCCCCTGGTACGCACCAGACTTTGCGACAGGTTCCGTGG